AGTAGATAAATTCTTCAACAGCTACCGCCATCCGTGACCTGGTAGTTTTATAAGTTGACGCCATTTATTTTGTACGAAAACACACAAGCTACTATTCTCTGCTATTCTCTGCTAGCTCTGCTATTCTCTGCTATTCTCTACTATTCTCTGCTATCTCTGCTAAATCACCGAGTGCACAAAAATTAGTCATGTAAGCAATTAAATTAACAGAAGTACAGTTGACGAGGTATGGGTAGTTTGGAAGTTTTGACAATTTAAATTTAGGTTCAAATGAAAAAGCAGTAAAATGCCCATATTTCTTACCATAGACTCCAACATTCTGTAAAGTACTATAATGTCTATGAACGGCTGCCTTCAGACTCTGACCATGTTGACGACCAATGGACTTATATAAGGTGGCATCTACTACCATTTCCCGTGTTCTTTTGTTTTCCATCACTAAAGCATCATGTAATATTTTGTTCTAGAGTTAAAGCGCTAACAAGGCACAGTCTTATTTCTGAAAGAAAAAAAGTTCGATACATTTTTGCGACATTCTTTTGAATATTTTGGTTTCATTGCAATGTTTCCCCTATATGCTTCTTTGGCATCTTCTGCTACTTCATCTCCTTCTTCTTCTCCTTCTTCCCCTTCTTCAATTTCTCCTTCTTCTATTTTCTCTTCTTCTTCTTTGCTAGAGCGAATTCCAACTGCGTTCACATTCAGTTCTTCAGCAGTAGTCAAAGATTTATTTTTATTTCCATTGTTAACCCATTTTAAAATAAACTGAACGACAATGTCTTCAGAAGAAACCTTGAGATATTGACTTTTTATTATGTCAAGTAAATCGTTTTCACGAAGACACAGAAATGTGTCAGACTTTATGATTTTTTTCAAAATATGTCAAGATAAGCTCTGCTGAAGTCCGGCATACTGTTATTGTATCGAAAAAAAGTTGAAAATGTTTTTCTCTGTGTGACAGAGGCTAAGCCTGATAGACAAGAAAAAGTCTTGGCAATTAATTAACTCTTATTCTGGAATGGAGAAAAAGAACTACTCAAGACCTGTGATAATGACGACGGAAATAGTTACCACATATACCAAAAGTTTTAAGGCCTTTATCAGTCATTTTGCTAAAATTAGTCTAAAACTGACAGAGAACAAAAAAGCTGAGAACATATTCTACTCAAAAAGCATGGAGAAGACGCAAATTAATTAAGAATACTGCTGAGGATTTTACCACACCTTTCAGTCTGGCCGAACTGCAGAAGGCGATCGATGTGTGCAAAGTTGCCGAAGCATAAGTACAGGATATCAGCTTTAACAAAATGATGCAAAACTTTGTATGGTAGCTCAGAAATCGCATTTGAATTTCATTAACAGATCATGGGCTACGTGAGACCTGCCCACATCCCTGCAAAGAGTTACAATCGCCATAATTCCCAAGGACTCGAAGAATGACGCTAACCCATGCAGATACCGTGAAATCTCTTTAACATCATGTCTAAGGAAGATAGCTATGAAATGGTTCAATGGAAATTAAAATTTTAATTAATTTAAATAGAATAGTTGTTGAAGTGCAACCTAAGGGCCGGACCATTTTTACATTCTTTTTTCTTCCACGTTCTTGCAAGGGATAATTTTAATGATAGTCAGATAATACTTCCTCTTTAAACAATTTTACTTTCTTATACGCTTTCTAATTCTATTATTTTAATTTATAATAAATTTCCAATGTTTCCTTTTTATGTTCGTAATGTGAAAAAAATATTAAAAGACAAAACTAAATGAATACAACTTACAGATTTCTAGACAGATACATTGAAACTGAACTCTTACTTTGGGGAAAATCCTAAATTATTTTTCGGGTTGTGTATTTAAACTTGAAAGCACTTAGCAGCCATAGCATAATATTTTGTTTTCATTGACTAGAAAAAAACAAACAGAATGAATCACACGGGGATTTGTCAGTAAAAAATGATCTTTGAAGATTCGCCTTGGCCATTTTGTTGCCGTCATTATTTGGTCGGTCAATTTCACCGTCAAGGATAAAGAAATTATTTACATATTTTATGTCGCTATCAAAAAATAAAGCCAGAATTAATGTTAGGACAACAACATTAAGTCTCTCTTTTGAGAATTGAATGACCATAGCAGTGGTGCAAAGATCGTTTATGTACTTCGTCTGCTGGCGGACGATTGTGTCCTAAATGCTGACTCTGAAACCGCCATGCTGCATACTAAGTGTTGTTATCTTCTCTGAGGCCTGCAATAATTTGGCCTCACAATCAACACAAAGAAGACTGAGGTAACGTATCAGTCAGCTCCCAGTAAGCCCTACGTTGAACCCAACATCATCATCAGCGGACAGCGTCTCAACCCGGTGGATAAATTTACTACTTGGTCAGAAACCTCTCCAGATCCGTCGTCATGGATGATGAAATAAATGGCAGACTCACAAAAGCTAGTGCCATATTTGGCAGGCGCCGCAGCACTGTTTGGGACAGGAGAGGTATCAGACGAGAAACGAAGATTAAGGTCTATTGCGCAGCAGTCCTCCCGACACTGCTCTACGGATGTGAAACGTGGACAGTCTACCAGCGTCATGCCAAGAAACTGAATCATTTTCACACAACTTGCCCCAGAAAACTCCTCGGCATCAGTTGGCAAGGCAAATTTCCTGACACTGAGGTCCTTGCTAAAGCGAGCCTACCTAGTATATTCAATATAAATGAAAGGACTGCTTTCAAGCTTAGTAAATGAATGAAATAGCAAAACGAAGTATGTGTGAAGCTTTAATGAGATAACAGGAAAAAAAACAAGGACATTTCGGCATAAAGCCTTCCTCAGCCAACAGAAGAAATGAAAATATAACAAAGAATAGAGCACAGTAGACAACTCAAGAAGTATCCATTCGTGTTTCCGGCGACAGTTGAGGCGACAACACTAGAAACATTTGTGTCTATTGCCTCAAGCATTCAAACCTCCAGTGCATGATTCCCTCACAAAGTGGCACTTGCAAAGAGTGAAATATCTTCATCAAGAGTTCTTGACAGTATTTTCAAAGGTAGTCCAGTGTATTCAATTAAAAAACATATTACCAAGAAGTGGATGCAGCAGAGAAGGAAACTATGTTTTCAAAGGTACTAAAAAAATGCATAAAGAATTTTTGAACAAAAGTGTTTTGACCCATCAAGTGGCTAAATTTCCACCACTTATCAAACCCAGTTTCAAATTTTGATTTTGTCTCTGTAACATTAGCAGCAAACAAATATGTACCAAAAACGGGGCAATGTCTGACTGAAGCATAAATAAATAATCAATGACCACAGTATTTTCTCGCAATTTGGCATCAATCTGTAAAGCCATCTTTTTCTTTTGCTTGCGCACGCCTCCTTTAGGTTTAGCATCTTGCCTTGTCACTACGTTGAATGGCCCGTACTTATTTTGAAACTAGGTACTCCACACTTAAATATTTTCAGACGGAAAATGACATGGAACAGGTCCATTGCAGAGGGAAGCATCTAATAAAATCAATTCAATTTTCTCCCATTAACCGTCACATTTAAAATATATTGGTTTGAATCAACATTATTAGCACACATAATTTACTTTTCCAAATCATCCACGTCTTTTAATTGTATTTCCACGTCAATCTCTTCCATTTTATACCCTATTTGCGGATCCATAGATTTTGGCCAAAATGTTCAACAAGAGGGCCTCAGTGTTCATGGCAAGGAAGAACTTTATTTTTTAGAAAACTTTAAAGTGTCTTTAGTAAAGAAGAAAAACAAATGTAAAAAAGCCTCCTGAATCGAATGAAAATAACATCATGATTAGAGAAACAACATATTAGAATATTTGGTTCGTTAACATTCTGGACTTTTCTCAGTTCCAATATATATTTTTTTTCGCTTATTACCAAAGATAAGGTCACTATTAAAATAATTCCGATTATCATTCAAGATAATTTTCAATTGTATCCCATTAAATTAGGAAGGCCTTTGCAAGGATGATGAATTTTAACTTTTTCACTATTGGACCCCCTGCGCGAATAGAATAGTATCTTTAATTTTTACATTAGTGTAACGGACTATGTTTTCACATGAAAACAGAGAGGTAGCATGAGTGAACAGTGAATTGTGTTGACCATGGTTTTTCCACGAGGAGAGACAATCAATGGATTGTATTTTGAGATGCAAATGTGAACTCCACGTTTTTGGAGAGTAAAATTATGTTTTTGTCAGAGCGGTTGTTTTCCACGCTTTGCTGGTAATAAAGTATGAGTTGACTGAGATAAGGAGAGCTGAGAGCGCAGGAGAGTCAGAGTGAGTCGGAGTTGAGTTAGAGTTGAGATGTAGTACAGTTGAGCTGAGTTATAGCAGTGTGAGGACGTGTCTTTCTGAGTGATGGAATATCATATATATATATATGAAAAGATTACATTCATGCAGGGATTATTATTAATATTATCTGTGTAAATTGTGATTCAATAAAGTACTGTAAGTTTAACCAGGATTCAGTATTCTTATTTGCGTGCCTGGATAGCAAGAGGAAGAACGATGAAGTCTTAGCCGGCATCCTGAATAATTACTAACTTAAAACAAGTAACCATGCTACTGACATAACCCACAGCATAAGAAATAAGTTACAATTATAATGATGTCAGAGTATATGCGTTACAATTAGCATTTTAGGTTTGATTAAAAAAAAATAAAAATACAAAAATAAAAAAAATTAAAAACTTCATTTGCCAAATAAATTCGGTTGGAAAACGCCAAATATAAAGAGTTTCATGTAAATAAAGTTTGCGTTACAAAGTTCCTTCTATGGCGAGTTAATTTAAAAACTACCAAAGTAGTAACATTTTTTGAACGGGCAGTTTGGAAGGCTTTTTGTATAGGGAACTGATCTGTATAATAAACGCTTTCTTCACACATTAATTTGACAGCATCATATTCAGTATGCTATAACAGCAACACGTTGCAAATTATACAATTCTTTAATTATATAATTACGTCTAGAATTACATTTTTACATTATTCTAACAGCATCACAATTGTTATATGTTGACAAAAGTCATTAAAAATAGTCCACACTACACTAAAACTATGACGACTCTATAACATACTGACTAAAATGGATTTGCTTTTCTCACAATTCAACGATAACTCCTAGCGCCACTCTAATACATTAAAATAAAACTCGCACTCCATCTTCGCACCGTGTTGAAACACCTGACATGTTTATTGACCTCACAAAACTATTCAACATAAAACTATTTAAAAATTCACCATTTCCATAATAATGGATAACGGAATGACGTGTTATCGTTTTGAATGTGTTGGGTAATGCACAATCATAATTGTAAATCGTTGCAATCTTACACAGTATCGAAGAATCCTTTTTAAAATTGCCAATAGTTTTTACGAGTGACGGAAATTTAGAGCCTGTCAGCTTGGTCACTTTCAAAATAGGGTTACTTAAAATGCCATTTTTATGTTAAAAAATTCATTCTCCCTACAAATATCTTCTTCCTTTGCATCAATTAATCATAAATATAGCTGGCTCCTGTCTACTATTTGAACAAGTTTTAGCATTTCAAGCCGTCATGGCGAAGGATGGGGTGGTTGTTCCTGTATTAAGTGATCCCAAACGGCTCATTGATTTTGGCTTTTCTTGTCGACATTTCACAGGAGCTGAATGTATTCAACAAGAAGTTACAAGACCAGGGGTAGTTTGTTAATGTCGGATGTGACAATGTCACGGCATTATGCACCTCATGTATCAACGCATGACTTTTGTGACAATGTCACGGCATTATGCACCTTATGTATCAACGCATGACTTTTGTGACAATGTCACGGCATTATGCACCTTATGTATCAACGCATGACTTTTCAATAATGGCCGGAATAATATTAGACCAATCTGGCCCTCCGAAACTTAGTGAAATTTTCCCAAAGAGTTTTGAAAACAAGGAGAACGTTTTATCTGGATTTTTCTTTTCCCCTAAAACAAGACGAAGTGTGTTGTTAACATAAATGGCGCCACACATCTCAATATTATGACATGAAAGAATTTCAACCAAAGTCATATTTACACCTTGCCATCCGTCACGATCAATTTCCCACAGGTTTCCATTTCTTTGAAGCACATATAAAGCTTTCTCCTTTCTGAAACTAACAATATTTTTGGCTGAACCTTCAAGTCTGTCAAGTTTTTTCCATCTCTGACACCTTGTGTCAAGACAATGCACAGCTGTTTCGTTAACTACGTCTGAGCAAAAAGCAAGTATGAACAAATCAAATGAACAAATGTGTTCAATTTTATTATTTGTGGGGAAACTAATCAAGTCTTCAAGTAAGCAATTCCCAAGTCTTGGATCAAATCTTTTGATTTGTTGATGAGAAGAGTTAATTAAATAGACAAATTCTTCAACAGCCACACCAAGCCATCCATTACCCGGTATACTCTTAACTCTACTCCAGTCATTTTTTATGAAAAAACACAAGCTGCTATTCTCTGCTACATCACCGATCGCAAAAATGTCTGTCATATAAGAAACAATTTTGACAGAAGTGCTCGTGGCTAGATACTTACAGCTTGGAATTTCTAACCATCTAAATTTTGGGTTATATGAACAAGCCCAAAAATATCCATTTCGATTACCCATTACACAAACGTTCTCTAATGCACTACAACTTCTATGCACGGCTGCATTTGACCACACGCCGTGTTGACGTCCAATAGAATTATACAAAAATGCATCCATGACCATTTCTCTTGTTGTTTCGTTACCCATCACTAAAGTGTCACGTGAAAGTTTTTCTAGAGTTACAGAGTTAACGAGGCTGAGTCTTGTTTTAAAAAAAAGACTTTTAAAATGTTCCTGACGATCTTGAATTGAGAATTCTGTAATAGCTACAGTGTTTTCATTCGCATCTCCCTCAGGCTGGTGCTGTCCGTCATGAAATATTTGTGTATTATATGCTCCTTGCCTAACTCCAAATGAATCATCCTTTTCATTCTGACTCAGACCAACAGCCGTCGCCTCTGAATTATCTGTTCTGTCACATTTAATCCATTTAAAAATAGACTCAATGACAACATCCTCACAAGATACAACCAAATCTTGACTTTGTATAATTTCAAGTAAATCATTGTAAAGAAGACACAGAAATGCGTTACATTTGATGACGTGTTCATAATTTTTCTTGATGAAATCTCGAACATGTGACAAAATCAAATCTGAACCCAAAAAATTTGCAGTCGAATATATAATTTCCCAGTTTGCCAGAGTTGTATTGTTTCTAAGAAACGTTTCACAAAGTTCTATGATATTATTGTTCCTCAGTTGAGATGCTACTTTCCAAACTGAGATGATAGTCTCATTGCAAAAATTGCTTGTTATAAAATCTACACAATTATCAGAGACAAATTTTATTAGAAGTTGATCGGCAGCCTGCCAGACATTAAGCATGTTGTCACGTGTCAAATTTTCACATCCGGTGTAGAGAGTTTCTAAGATGGTAGCGAACGTTTCCATGGAGACGCCCTCAAGCTTTGTTCTCTGTTTCTGCGACTCTTTCATCCTAGATCTGAGAAGACCACGGAAAAATTCAGAGCAAGCGCTGAGTATCAGACGATGACATTTAAATTCTTTGCCTTCAACTTCAACAACAAAATCTTGGAGTTCTTCATCTTCTTTCACATATGATATACCTTCAATGATGGCACATGCTATTTTCGGTTTCGTTAACATATTGTTGATCTTGTATTAGATTCTATTAAATTTCCTGTATAATTTAGAAAAACAAACAAACTAAATCAATTTGCATTAATAAGAATCCTGTTTTCAATTGTTTACGCATATTATCCATTTTGATTTTTTTTTTTTAAATCAAACAATGTTCCCTTAATATTAACTTATCCCTCATTACATTAATAATATATGTTTTATAGAATCCCTATTTTGCTTTTTAGAAAATTAATACCATGCAATAAAAAAACAAATTTTGGCCCGTTAAAAACTGACAGAAAATCACCTTTACTTTAATAAAAAGTGCATTGGTTTCTAAACCAAATTTCTGCATTGTATCTATTTTACAATTAATTTCTACAGAAACGTAAGATAATTATTAGAATTCACCACTATCGAAATATTTTTTACCCAATGGAGGTTAACTTTAGTTTTGATTAAACAAAGTTCTTTTGTTATTAAATTAAGATGAAATGGTCAGGTCGTTTTAAACTTTAAACTTCCTTCATCAACTGCCATATTATAGGCAATGCATTCGATAGTTGTAATTTTCAAAAGTAACATTATCTTTAATATGTATATTCTAAATAAAGATGCTTATTGAAAACTTATATTAAACAACTATAACATATTTCATTACACTTTTCATAATAAAGGATGACTTTAAAATAAAAGCAAAAGCGAAATGTGTTTAATAATTCCAACTTACTGGATGAAATTGAAACCGACATGTCAAATCGGGAATATCCAGCATTATTTTTAATTTTAATTCTGTAAATTGTGAACAAAAATATTTCCCAATCTCAATATTTGGCATACGAATGCTACATCCACTAAATCAAAAGGAAAAAAAAATGCACGTTAGAACCATCAAAGTCGAGCAGTAAAGTTGGTGTCAGTCAGATAACAGGGTCGGCCAAACGGTTGCTGGCGCCCTGTGCAAGCTTTACTTTGGCGCCCCTTTAAATATGATCATTAACGGAAAAACTAGTCATTCGGCAATGAAATTATTATCTATGTTGTTTTTTAAACAAACAATCAACATTAAAATTGTTTTTGTTAACTTGTATCAGCATATCTTTCTCAATGCACTTTCTATTTTTATCCCATGGCACCCATATGCAATTCCTTTTTCCTATTTTTGGAAGATCGTTGATGGCGCCCTAAGCACAGACCGTGTACAAAAAGTTAGAATACCGTTTCTGTAACAGACTATGTTTTCACATGAAAACAGAGAGGTAGCATGAGTGAACAGTGAGTTGTGTTGACCGTGTTTTCCACGAGAGAGGGGATTGTGTTTTTGAGATGAAAATGTGAGCTCCACGTTTTTGGAGAGTAAAATTATGTTTTTGACAAAGCAGTCGTTTTCCACGCTTTGCGGGTAATACAAAGTATGAGTCGATTGAGAGGGTGCGCGCAGAGCAGTAGAGAAAGGTAGAGTCAGAGCTGAGTGACGAGACAGTTGAGCTGAGTTATAGTAGTGTGAGGACGTGTCTTTCTGAATGATGGAATACTATACTATATACATGTGAAATTATTTACATTCATGCAAGGATTATTATTATTATCAGTGTCAAGTGTGATTCAATAAAGTACTGTGAGTTTTATCAGAATTGAATATCCTTCTTTGCGTGCCTGGATAATAAGTGGAAGAATGAAGAAGTCTTAGTCGGCATCCTGAAGTATTAACATAAGTAACCATACTACTGACATAACCCACTAAGTTACAAATGATGTCAGAGTAGATGTGTTACAGTTTCCCAACCCTGGACCCGAGGTTCACACTTCATTATAATTAACTAAGCGAATATTTAAATTAGAGACCGACAGAAAGTGATTTTCTGATTTCGGCTGAAGCCGAAAATAGGCCGAAAGTTTAAAATGAATTTCGACCGAAACCAAAACATACCGAAAGTTTTAAAATGACTTTCGGTCAAAACCGAAAAATACCGAAAGTTAAAAATGACTTTCAGCCGAAACAAAGCCGAAACCGAAAATGAAATATTTAGATATTTTGAAATTCGTTCCCGCATACATTCTGCATACATCGAAAATGATGGGAGAAAGTAAAAATATTTACATTCTTTTTATAAAAAAATGAGATAATCGTGAATATTAATAAATAAACATCTAATATAATCTTGTTGTTAAAGATCGTTTAGTTTGTTCTTAAAGATCGCTTAGTTTGTTGTTAAAGATCGTTCAGTTTTTTGTTAATGATCGCTTTATTTGTTCTTCAATATCGGTTAGTTTGTTCATAAAGATTGCTTAGTTTGTTGTTAAAAATCGTTTATTTTGTTGTTTTTTTAAAGATCGCTTAGTTTGCTCGTAAAGATCACTTAGTTTTTGTTTAAAGATATTTTAGTTAGTTATTAAAGATCATTTGGTTTGTTCAAAAAATATCGCTAGTTGTTCTTAAAAATCATTCAGTTTGTTCTTAAAGATCATTTAGTTTGTTTGTATAATCTTTTAGTTTCTATTAAAAATAAATATATTTATCAAATCTGTTATTTAAATGGGATTAAATTCTTTTTAAATATATTTTCATTGTTTTATTTCAAGTGTGTTTCTGGTTTTTAAAAATTAATTTTCTAAAATTATTACCTAGTTGTCTCCGATGTTATGAGGGAAAATTGGTCATTGTATAACTGCCGTGCAGCCTACAAACCCTAAGAGAAATAACATTGCAGGCCAGGCAGTCCATGAAGTCTAGACAACGTGTGAACATGGAAGACGCATTACGATAAAACATAACATGTTAGGGCTAGTGGTGAAGAAAACGTTGGTGTCACCCGGTGCGTTAAATTCCATGGTGTCATCCTCCCCCCAACCGACTTCCATAAAATTATTTTTTTGGGGGGTTTTATGTTAAATTTGGTTCAATATATTTCCCAATGATTCTTTTTGTTTTTTTTTCGCATTTTATTGTTTTTTAAAGGTTATAAACAAAAATTCGAGATAACTGTTGTTTTTTTTCACATTTGATTAAAACTGATTCTTCTTTAAAAAAATTTACATATTTAAGGACGCAGGTAAAGATTTTTCGAGCAAATTTATGTAATTGTATTGGGCGTGGCCTATTTTTTTTAATCTGTCGAGTTTACAGCCGACTACCCATAAAACATGGTTAGTCTGTCTCCTAGTATCTTGTGGAACGTTCTCGATTTGATGACAAACGTAAACAATGTCTAAGTCGCTTCCGAAAAGCGTCTTACGCTGGATATATAAGGGATGACAGGAACAGAGATTCACGGAGATTCAGATAGATATTTTTAACTTTACGAGACAAATGTTATTATTCTTTGTGGACTCATATGTGTTTATTAGCATTCATTATTGTAAATTATTAATTGACACATTGCACTAACTGTGTACCAGTACAAGATCTACCATACTCTGTAAGTTGATTATTGTGATTATATTTCTTTTGTTTAGTATTTATTTTAATACTTAAATAAATGTTATTAATTGTAATTAGCGCCTTTTTTGGGTGTCATATTTTTGCTATATTATTTCTCTATGGAATCGTCCTTTTTTGTGCACTGAATGAAAGAGCCATAACTTAAATAAAGAGATTAATTTCTCACAATAGAAGCCAGTGCGTAACAATGGTACACTGAATGTTGACTTGTTAGAAATATGCTACCTGGCTCTTCTTGTATAATAATTCAATAAAGTTTTGCAATTTACTGCATAGTCTATAGAAGTTACTATAAATATAAATAAACCAAATACATTTTAAATAGTATTTGTCAGGTAATGATGGGTAGGTGCTTTAAGCCGTGTCAGGTGGCAAAATTTTACTTAAATTAAGGTGACATAAATCATTTGAACCTTCATTTAATCTGTATAAAAAACTTTTTGTTTTAAAATTTAGAAAACTTAAAAACAAATCAACCTATTGCAAAATAATAATAACCATTGTTGATTTATACCTTAAAGAAAAGTTCAAGTCAAATAAAATATTGAAAATATAATGTAATGACAGTTTGGGATAATTTATTTTCTTCGGCTATGTTTGCAAAATGTTCCGAATTCCAATGTTATACCATTTGTAAATAAAATATTTTTTTAAAATAAAGCAGAATTATGTCGAAAAATTAAACCTTTACTGACAGAAATAAAGCAAAAAGCCAAACATAATATTGTACACAAATGTGCTAAAAAACTTTTCCTTACCACCCAAAAATTATATAAGATGTGCGCAGTCGATACGCTTTACATTAATTATCCTTGAAGTAAATATTGATTGTAACATTTACAATTATTGTTTACAAGAGTGTCACGAAATACAAATAATTTCTTTCCCGTTCGACATATTAGGAATGGTAACCTCAAAAAAAAAAATTATTTTTTTTCAAATATAAAGAAAAAGTATTTTATTGTACGGAAATTAGGGAAAGAAACAAAAAAACTGTCGGCGTGTCTCTTTGTGAAATAAAATTTTTAAAAAAAAGTTATTTTCAGAGTTTAGAACATTTTTTTTATAAATGTCCACCCTAAGTTCTTTTTTCTTTTCTTTTTTAGACAAACCAGTTAATGTTTAATTTACAAAGACATGTGAGCAGAGGCATAGCGAGGGTGTTTGGCGCCCGGGGACAAGATCCATTTTAAAGCGCCCCCTTTTCTTTTTTTCAACTCTCAAACCCATTATTTTTACCCATAAAATAATATCAAAGAACATGATCAAAGTTAAATATTATAAAAATAATAAATGCTACGAAGTAGAACATTCAACAGGAATTTTCATATTAGATTAAAGTAAATTCAGATTGTGACATTAATAACAAATATAGATTCTTAAAATTAGATGTTGGTCATATTATTAAAACAACAGATCTGCACATTAGCATATGGAAGTTAGATTTATACTCATAAATATCTAGAATGAAATAGACAAATTTGACTTTTTTTATAATCCCATGTAAATAATGAATTGAGAATAAGATTTTAAATATGTCATTATTCAAAACACACAATGTTCCAAATTCAGAATAAGACTTTTCCATATGGAGACAACGTACCTAACCATGACGG